TACACTTGCAGTGCAGGCTGTGATCATCGCAATGAAAAGACTCGGAACTGAACTCGATTAACGGCGCTTAGAAGCTCTAATGGAACGATCAAGTTATTCCTCTCGTTATAGTACACGGAAAGATAATGTTTACACCTCTTAAAAGTTTTTTTTCTTTTTTTTTTTATAATAGCCCCGGTATTTTTTGTTTGATGTTGGTAGGGATAAGTTCTTCTAGAATCTCGCAGAGATCTTCGAAGACGTGCAACTTTGCTCGACAGAAATGTAAAACGTAACAGGCTGTCCGCCGCCCCGACTTGAGAGGTACACATTCACTCAATGCAAAGTTTTCCGGGAGACTATGAGAGCAAGCCAGTACCCCGCTGAGGTAGGCAGCCCTGGTGGCAAGGCATGGGTTACATCTGCAACAAAAAGAGATTGGAGATATGTTGCAACTGACACAGGGGCTAAGAATGCGAAAATAAAAACGAGGCTGACATTTATAAATGAGGTTCACCTAGAACGAACCATTCGCATATGTAGCAGGCTCATCAACCCTTTGCATAATAGTAGAGTGCACAATGTGTTGCACAAATTAAATATATTTATTGCACAAACCTTCGTTGTGTGCAAAAAAAAAAATAGCACAAATCAAAGGGGTGACGCAGAGATCAACCACTCGGCAATCTCTTTCGCAAACGACGGCAGATACTAAATGTCCGAAACAAAACCCTACGGTTAACTGTCGAGCGACAAGAGCAAAGCGATTCGGCCAACTCCGACTTCAAGAGTGCAGCACACTAGTTGCTGTACTCTGTTTCATCTTACGATGGACTGCAGTGGACGCTACCCGAGAACCTATTGCACGACGATACACCACACACGTCGCTACATCCGTCCCGGAGGTCACACAATATTCACACGCCATTAAAGGGGCTTCGATGGATAGTGGTGATCTCTGCGGTTTATCTTAAGATGAAACAGACTAAGGTACAGTGGCCTAGCCCTGTAAATGCAACGTGACACAAAGAATAGGCACTAAAATCAAGACACTGCATATCCGCTCACTCCGAGGCCTGCCACACTTTCTCCTCTAGCCTGCAACAGACGGAACCAACAAAGTCCTGCTCGGCAAAGAAGTCCCTGGAGTGGTTTACAATTTGCAGGACCTGTGAGTACACAGAGATTATCACACCATTAGGCTTACGCGGATTAAATTAAAGACGGCAACTACAGAGAGTGCTGCAATGTCCCAGACGTTTGAAACCAGAGGTGATGGACAAAAGGAGGGACAACATGTAACGGGTTTGAAGTTCAAACATTCAAACGCTATGTGCGATCTAAGCAGGCTCGCCTGTTTGTAAACTTTGGCTTGTCTTTGTCGACGGTCACCTGAAGAAGGGTTCCGTGGACGGCGTTGCTCTCCGGGGGATGCGCCGCGCCAGGTAGGGAGAGGATGGCGCTGAGGAGGAACTCCCTGTGCTCGGCGGGCGCCACCAGGGGCACGACGGCGCGCGCTGCCAGCGCCCGTACCCTCCACGAGGGGCTGCGCGAGCAGCGGACCACATGGGGCGCAAACGCGTCCAGCGGGAAGCCGCCCTCCATCACCGAGAGAAAGAGACGAGACAGGAGCAGCAGGACCGGAAACCTGCTCGAGCCAAGGACCCTAAGGGAACGAGGAAAATAAAACGTATAGTTGTTGACAAGCTTAACATTAAACTTCCACAACTCCCAGCCGATCCGAACCACCTCCATTTTAAATTTCCCCAGGGATGAATATCACCGGAGCATCATCAATAAAGGAATACTCGGTTTATCTTGTTAGCACGTACAAAGAATGCGATTCCGCGGCATCCTTCGGAACTCGTGGCGGACATTGAAGTTTCTTTTTTTTTTTTCCTTCTTTGGTAACAGCATGTTATTTTATCACAAACTCTGTCCTTTTTTATGTGAGGGTGGGCACGTGTTGAATATCTCGTTTCTTCCCACAAACTGTTTCAACGCGAATGCTGGCGTTCACGCTTGGACAGTTAGTAGATACCACCGTGACAGCTGATAGACCCAAAGCTTTGGGTCTATCCACTATAATTGGCGCAGATCCTTTTAATCAGACTGCTTCGGTCGTAAATCAGCTTACCTTTTTTGAGAAGTGTTTTTGAAAATACATCTTTTGTAAATAAATATTGTCCGGCAATAAAAAAAGAAAAAAAAATCCACTCAGTAATTGGCGCAGGAGTACAATGTCGAACTCACAATCACTGGGTCGTGGGTTCAATTCCCGTTGGGGCGGATTTACAAATTCATTCTTTCTTTGCTATTTACTACCCTTTTATACAAATTGCTGCGGATGAGAGTTCGAAACAAGGGACAGCTGCACGCAAACCCACACAGAAGCCCCATTAACACACATACCGTGAGACTTGGATAGCTGTACATTCTTGCAAATACGTAGAGACAACATAAGGATCCGTCTCACCAACAGTCAATGAAGGAGAGATAAGAAAGATAAATTTAAGCTTGTTTTTTCTTTTGAGGGTGGCATTAGAATCCTTCCGCATCTTTGGTTTGGAACACCGATTTCTGGACTCTACAATCCGTATATCAGCCACAGACACATTTCTATTGATGCTAATGACTGATTGATTGGGGTTTAATAGAACATTTCTGTCTATGCTGGCGACTGATTGATTGGAGTTCAATGGCACATTTTATTGATGCTCCTAATTGATTGGGATTTAAGGGGAGGCACTGCTCTTTGAAGCAAAAGTATGCTAAGAAAGCACATCTTTGAAATTGTGTTTTTTGAAGATTGGCAGGCACTTATCATCTTGTCCTGAAAGATTCTCTCTAAATAAATCTCTCTCTTCTTGAAATATTGTCTTAAAAACAAAGTAGAATTAGTGTGTGCATGCTTTTTTATATTATTTCTGAGTGAACTATTTATACCCTTTACTATTTTATGGAAGCCATATCTCAACTTCCACATGACTAATCTTCGTATTTTTGCTTTCTCTGGTAGGCGTATGTGTGACATGCGCAATAAGAGGTATAAATATATTAAATAGGGCATCAGGCTTTTTTTTAGGTGCCTCTTAGGCATCCTGCAATAAATCATTCTAAACTGGAAAGTTGAAAAGTTTCCCGAAACGTTTATAAAGCCTCCTAGAGCTTTTATTTATACCTTATTGGATTCCGCATACCTTTTAGTTCACTGATATACGTTTATTTCTTAATTTCACTATTTCAATTCGTCTTAATTCTCCCCATAATTCTTGCAGATAAAATTTTCAATATTAAGGAAACTAATTAGGTTACATCAAAACCAAGTACATATTTGCACTCAGAGTGTAAAGGGAAATAAGCTTTGTAAATTTCATTTGAATTGAATCACAAGTTATATTTAAAAAAATTACCGCTTCTCCACGCGGTGAACGATGTTGATTGGGGCAAAGCTCTGGTGGTGCTGACGATACTGATTTTATTATTCATAGGTAGTGCTGATGGTGCTGATTTTTTTTATTGCTCATACCTAGTGCTGAGTTCCGGGTTGCGTTTCCACTTCATTATTACTGCTTTATGGTCGGTGAAATGCAAAGCCAGTAGTTGTTCTAGCGGATCAGCTTGCATCCGCAAGAAGCCGTGGAAACGCAACTCCACCGCTTAAGTCAACGGTCCATGTCAGAAAGAGAATATATGGTGTGGAACGTGGTTATATCCGTATTTGAGCATTTGACCGCAGCGCCCCCTCGTCTATAAACGTTGAGCCAATGCCTGCAAAGTTTAACGCGATTATATACAGATTTGACCGCAGCGCCCTCTCCTATATAGACGTTGAGCGGCTACATGCAACGTTTCATACATGACAGAAACCCCAGCTCTTGAGTTGCCACCACACACCAGAGCCCCCTACTCGTCCCGGAGTCGTGGCCGAGTGGTTAAGGCGATAAACTAGAAGTTCATTGGGGTCTCCCCGCACAGGTTTGAATCCTGTCAACTACGATGACAGGATTCAAACAGCTCTATTGGCGCTACTGATTAATCGATTGGGGCTTAATATAACATTTGCATCAATGCTGGTGACTGATTGATTGGAGTTTAATGGCACATTTATATTGATGCTACTGAATGATCGATTGAGGTTCAATGAAACATTTCTATCTATGCTGGTGACTGGTTGATAGATTTTAGCTGCACACTTCTATTCATGCTACTGATTGATTCAATGGGTTTAATGAAACATTTCTATCTATCCTGATAAGTGATTCATTAGAGTTTAATGGCACATTTCGATTGGTGCTGGTGATTGATTGATTGGGGTTTAATAGAACATTTTTATCTATGCTGCTGACTGATTGATTGGAGCTTAACGTCATATTTTTATTGATGCTGCTGATTGATTGATTGATTGATTGGGGTTTAATGAAACATCTCTATCTATGCCGGTGACCGATTGACCGGAGTTTAATGGCACATTTATATTGATGCTGGTGATTGATTGATTGGGATCTAATGAAACATTGTTATTTATGTTGGTGTGACTAAGTGGGGAGTAGTAACACATTCCTATTAATGCTGGTGGTTGAAAGCTTGAATGGGCTTTATTCGCACACTTCTGTCGATGCTGGTGATTTTGATCGGGGTTTGATGGCACATTTCTAATAATGCTCGTGATTATAATTTATTGACCAATAAGGTTTTAATTACACATTTCTTTCAATGCTAGTGCTGGTGCCAGCCGTCGACGCAGCTGCTTGGAGCGGAGAAGCTGGGAAGCCTTTTTGAATATTTAGTGGGTGTTCGAAGCGAGCACAGAGATCCCTCTAGTTCCCCTACCGGTTTCCTGCCCGACACGACCAGTTCACCTTCGGTTCTGAAAGCAAACCTCTGGTAGTTCAGTCTGTCTCTCTAGAAGAATATCCAGGAACAGGCCCAAAAGCATGACAGAATGTTTTTAAGCCAGAGATTTCCAAGCGCTGTGATGGCATCTTTTTTTTTTTTCAGTTCTCCCATTCCATCGCTTCTCACCGGTGGTGCAAATGGTTGCCCGCTCGGTTCAGCTGGTCCAGCAAAAAGTGGAAGAGCGACAGGAAGCGGAAGAAGAAGACGTGCGCCGTGAGGCACGTCTTCTTGGTGTTAAGCGCAGCAGGGACGAGCCCCAGCGCCGCAACGGCGCTGGGGCTCGTCCCTGCTGCGCTTAACACCAAATATCACAGTTATCAGCGTGCTGAAGAGCAGCGTCGCCGCATTCCTCACCTGCGGGCGGCGTCCCGTCAAAGTGGGGTCAGGAAACGTGCGAGTCAATCCAGAGAGGAACTACGGTTTCCTCTCGTTTAACCCACAGTCGCTGCATATGCTCCACTTCAGAGTACTAGTAACCACCATATTGTAACAATATAAAGTAAACCAACCGTCCCAGAGGCTTGTAAACTGTAGCGAAAAATCGTTTTAAGAATTTAATCTCCGAGAAAGCACTGGCAGCGTTGGATGCTGCAAAAAGGTGCCGTCAACAGCTTGGTGGTTGTCGCATCTGACGATGGTAGGTTTGACACTTCCCTGTCTGTCTAATAATAAAAAAATGAAGGCTTGTTTTTTTTTCCTTCGAAAGTTGAATTTGTTTTTTTTTTTTTACTGTTACCTATATTTTTTTACTATTTTCTTCTCGTTGCCTTGAGATGTATTTTCTATGTACACCGACATTGTTGCGCATTAAAATTAATCACCTCGCCTTTTTGGACCCTTACGGACCAGTGGTGTCGAAAAAACGAACAGACTCACGGCCGAGACGTTGGCCTCGAAGCCCAAGAAAGCCACCCTGACTCCGTCCGCGACGTAAAGCATAACCACTGTCTCCCAGCCGCGCCTTCCGAAACCACGCAATCAGCACGTTTATGGCGTGCACCTGCGGAGGAGGGCGGGCAACTGAACTTTGTCTTTACTTTAAGCTGCCTTCACACTGCTTGTACATCGTACAAAAGACGCGGCGTTCGCCTCGGACACGATGACGGAATTATTTTTTGCTTCGCACGTGCGTATGCTTCCGTGTCACTGTCCATTGTATGATGGATAAGCAGCGTGAACGCAGAGCCGTATATGTGTGAACGCGGCCTTATGGCACTGTGCTGCCGACGCTAAGAGACAGCGGGGTAAATCGGAAAGCATAAAAACTTCAACGCCAGGGCATTCGTCATCTGCGCACGCGTCATCATCAACTAAACTAAGCAACAAAGTGCAGTGAATGCGCCGTGACCTTGCGCTTTTAGTCCGTGTTCTCGTGTCTTCTATCCTTTGGCTCGCACCAACGTACGGTGAAAAGAACATCGTTTTCACGAGTAACTTCTTCAAAACGCTAAGCCATGTGGAGTGCAAGTTTGTCTGCTTCTTGCGTGGGGCTCGCACCAACGTCCGAACGCCGAGCAACGATTGGCTCCGATTGGAAGGATAGTGGGTTGGCCTGAAGGAAGCTAGCATTGAGGTCTACCCACTGTCCTTCCAATCGGAGCCGATCGGAGCTGGGCGTTCTAACGTCGGTGCGAGCCCTGCACAAGAAGCGGGCGAACTTGCGTGCCGCATATATGTACATCTCGTAGTTAGTGTTCCAAGTCTTCTGCGGTTACCGAAAGGCAGCTATAAATGCACGCTACCTATTATTATGACAGGTCGGTGACAATAAGGTAGGAACCGGAATTCCGGCAGACTATTTGGTGTTATTGTCCCAGGTTCCTGGCCTCTTTTTATGTTGACTATTGTGGATCTAATAAAAGTGTAGGGATAGATAATGGTAAGCCTATTTTTCGGAGAGTATGAGATCAGATGACCCAAGCAGCCAACCTGGGTATTTCTCAGTTCTGCAGTTTAAACAAAGAATGTGTTATAGAGTCAATTTTAATGAGGGAAGCAACATGCTTCCCCAACACACAGGTCAGATCATCTGATGAAATGACATGATACGTCACATGACACGTGTGAACATAATATTACGTGACCTCGTGATGTTAAAGGACATCACGTGACCTCATGAAGTCACACACACAGAGCATGCGCACAGCTCATTCATGACACAGTTTGTCTGTCTCCGAGTTTATCAGATATGATCGAGACAAGCATAAATATTTTCATGGTAATGTCCACATTTATGTTCAGCTACGTACAGGGGTCCTAATCTGGACCCTTGGCGAAAAAGTCGACAAGAAATCTAACGACCGTGATCGTCCAACGCCGCACATGACCTTGGTGCCGGCCAACCAGAGCCACCAAATTTCTGGCCAACTTTCTCGCCAAGTCTCCAGATTAGGGCACTGGCATCATGAAAACAGGTGCTGTCACAAGTGATGAGAATTTTTCTGTTGAAGCCTCCGGCAAATGTCACCAAAATGGTTCAAAAATTCGAGCAGCTGAATTAATGTGATGCTGAATCCGACCTTCGGTTCCACGGCTGAGGTGTCCTGGTCAGCGAGCTTCAAAAACGCAGCCATATATTGCTGGAAAGCAGCAGACCCCAACACCTGTGGTTCTGACACCAGCACAGCCTAGAAACGGGAAAATAAGACAATAAATATGTTGCATGGTTCGAAGAAGCAGCCAACAATGAAATAAAAGTGCTTCTTTATTTCAATGATTACTGGGAAGCGCAACAAGAACGTGGACCATATCACAAGTAACGCAAATCGTTCACTCGGTTATCTACGGCGTAACTTTTTTTTAGCCCCAACTAACCTAAAACTTCTGCTCTATAAATCTTTAGTCCGATCAAAGCTAGAATACGCATCATCAATCTGGGACCCTAATATTAACTCTCTTATTTTACAAATAGAAGCCATCTAGAACCGTTCGGCGCGTTTCATTTTTTCGAATTACTTCCGTACTGCCAGTGTCTCTTCAATGAAATCTAATCTTAACTTGCCCGATCCTTCATTGCCTCGTAAAATGTCTCGTCTTTGTCTCTTTCATAAGATTTATCATTTTAACTGTCCCCTCAGTGATTCTCTCTTTCTGCGACCATCGTACATTTCCTCCCGCAGCGACCACCAGTACAAGGTTGGCGTGCCAAGCAGCTGCACTAATTTACATTTCTACTCCTCCATTCCCAAAACTTGCGTCGACTGCAACCACCTCCCCTGCACCATCGCCCTGATAACTGACACCGTCCGCTTCAAATCTGTGATCTGCATCCGTTTTTTGTAACCCTGCTGTTGTGTTTATGTTGATGTTTATTATTATTTTTGTGTTTATTTCGCCCACTCGTCTCTGCAATGCTTCGGCCTTGAGAGTAAATAAATGAAATGAAATGAAATGAAGAATGTTGCGTGAGTTTGGAAAGGAGGGAAACAATGGCAACATTAAAAAGTTTGCATTACTTCGGGGATAAAAAGAAAAGTAATGCAAAAGTATTGCAACACCTCGAGAGCAAGCGAATCTCACATCAAAAATGCTGGAGGAGCCCAAAAATAAAACGGCAGCACAAAAACAACACAAAAAAGAGGCCGCATCTCCACCTGGTGAATGATGTTGATTGGGGCGAAGCTCTGGTGGTGCTGATGATACTGATATTATTGTCTATAGGTAGTGCTGATTTTTTTTATTGCTGATAGGTAGTGTTGAGTTCCGGGTTGCGTTTCGACTTCATTATTACTGCTTTATGGCTGGCGAAATGCCGAGCCAGTGGTTCTTCTAGTGGATCAGCTTGGGTCCGCTAGAAGCCGTGTGAACGCATCTCCACCACTTAAGTCAACGGTCCATGTCAGAAAGAGAATGTGTGGTATGGATCGTGGTTATATACGCATTTGAGCATTTGACCGCAGCGCCCTCTCGTCTATAAACGTTGAGCCATAGCATGCAAAGTTTAACGCGATTATATATGCATTTGACCGCAGCGCCCTCTCCTGTATAGACGTTGAGAGGCTCCATGCAACGTTGGAGTGTAGCGTAGTGGTTAAGCCGTCATCCTCGTAAGCAAGCGGTCCTGAGTTCTAACCCCCGAGCGGGCGTACATTTTTTTTAGGGGCGAAGCTCCTTAGGGTCTAGCCTTGCCCGTCCGGCGTCCGTGCTCACATCGATTGCCATCCCATCTATCTTCTTAAAAAGAAAAAAATGTTTGCGCAGTCGACAGGATTTGAACCTGAGCGGGGAGACCCCAATGGATTTCTAGTTCATCGCCTTAACCACTCGGCCACGGCTGCAGGACGAGAAGGGCGCTTTGAGATGGGGTAGCAACTCAAAAGCTGGGGTTTCTGTCATGGATGAAACGTTGCATGTAGCCGCTCAACGTCTATAGAGGAGAGGGCGCTGCGGTCAAATGCGTATATAATCGCGTTAAACTTTGCATGCATTGATTGAACGTTTATAGATGAGAGGACGCTGCGGTCAAATGTTCAAATGCGTATATAACCATGTTTCATACCACACATTCTCTTTCTGACATGGACCTTAAGCAATGGAGATGCGTTCCCACGGCTTCTAGCAGATCCAAGCTGATCCGCTAGAAGAACCACTGACTCTGCGTTCCACCGACCTTAAGGCAGTAATAATGAAGTCTAAATGCAACCCGGAACTCAGCACTACCTATAAGCAATAAAAAAAAATCAGCACTACCTATGAATAATAAAATCAGTATCATCAGCACCACCAGAGCTTCGCCCCAATCAACATCATTCACCACGTGGAGATGCGGTCATTTTTTTTTCTCTTTTAGCGCCGGAACTGCCGGAACTTCGTCAGCGATCCGGAATTACGTCATGCTGCGCTCCTTTGACTCCTCGTGCACCGTCTCCGGGGGCGATGTACGAGAGCCTGACTCCGAAAACTCGGAGTGACCTGCACCGGAAACCGGAAGTCGGTTTTTGCCATCTAGTGGAAGGAGCGCTGACTCCTTGACTCCTGGAGCCGCTATTGAACGTCGTCTGCTATTTAAAAACGCCACTGGCTATACAAAACAACGAGGGCTTTACTGCTCATCTGGTTGTACTGATACCAGAACGTGTGCCGTTCCCGCAGTATCCTGCGCTGCAGCCGTGATGTCTTGCAAGCATACTAAAACCTTTTTTTATAATTTTTTTTATTTAAATTTTTTCTCATGCTGTCGTCGTATAAAAACTGGCAAACAACTTTGTACCAGTTCAAATCATTTTTTATCTTGATGAAGGAAGAAGCTGAAGATGCTTACTACGAAGCGAAGCATATATGAGGGGCCCGCACGTTCAACACGTCAGTAGAACACGACGCACGAATTAGATGCAACTACTGCATAAAAATTTTGGAGAGTGGTCCGATCAATCTCTTTGTACAAGTTAGGCTCTAAAGCCTTTCAAGAGCAGAAATTTAATCAAGGGAATTATGTGTCGCCACTTTGTACTGGTCGGTTCTTATCTTCAGAGCATCCAAACTCAAACAAAACCAAGAATTAAGAGGTGATCGAAGAACCAACTCTCATCTGCCATTGACGTGCTAAACTGACAGTGCCCAATGAAATAGTTTAATTATCGCCATTAGTTTGCCGAAAGTGAGACTACTTTTTAAACCACCAGAGGACGCGGAATTTCGAAAAGGGTCTGTCTGTACCATGGAGCTATTATAATGTCCGCTAGAGGTTCAGCTGGCGCTAGTCGGTATGCCACTTCCGGGATGCAAGTTGAAGACCAGTCTACTTTCGTGGTGCTCTTGTGCATTATCATTTGAAAACGCGCGTGCATTTTTTCTCTTCGCCGAAAAGTAACATGGATCACTTTTATTTGGGTCATACCTGATAGATGTACTACCTTTATTATCATTGTAGAAGTGAAATTGCTTTAGTTAGTATTTTTCTTCGCCGGTGAAAGATGTTAAACTTCGCTATATTTAAGGCACTCACCTCTGTTTCATAGCAGGCCTGTAAAAACGAGCAACGATTCTAAGAAACATAATGGTAAAAAGGAATCTAAATTGTGTTCAAGGTTCGCCACCATTCAGGAGACAATTATGTATTGCTAAAATGTCAGTCTTCTGGCTATATGAAAATTACACCGTCGCGCATTTTTACGAGCGGTTAAAAACACTCCGAACATAAAGAATAAAGTAAGTAGTCTGTAAACAGTGTTTGTTTTTAATATTTCCCATACCAGGCAACTTTTATCGGGTTCATTTCTCTGACTTTTTTCTATTTTCAAAGATTTCGAGCGTGCGGGTAATGTAAATTTGGGCGCAGAACAATCGACTTCGCACATATGCATCAGCAGAAAGTATAACGCAGTACTTATTGATTGCAAATCGGAATATATTGCGTGGCCTCCAATTTCCTTCGATCCTCTAGCATGTACAGAGATTTACTGATTCAGTGTAACTGAGTAGTTCCTGCAGTTTCTTTTGGATTCAGATGTCCTTCGTTCGTTTGACACGTAAATACTTCAGGCTGAAAAGCGCCGACGCCGTGTTCGCGCTTACAGTGTCCGACAGTGCACAGAAAATGCACCGTGAAGGTAGCACTGCGTTTAATGCTATGAATTTGAAAGAAAAAACTAGCTGACCATTATTTTCATTTACGTGGCTGAGAACGTTCCAAGTTATTTACTAAGCTATACACTCCGTGCGAGAACTGTAGGGGGCGTGGTGGGGCTGCACGCAGCGCCACTGGCGGCGGAGCTGGTGTTGCATCGCGAGACTCGTCCGGCAGCTTGCAGCCGCCCTTTGCGCCAGGACGCTATGGCGGCGCAGGCGTCCGCAGTCGGAGGCTTGGTACTTCGAGCCGGTTTAAAGACGTTCTAGTAGGCTCCATGTTTCTCGATGCCACTACGAAAAAGGGTGACAATCTCTACGAGAGTAGGCACGTCTCCGACGTTAACGAGAAAGTATCGGCGTCGTCGTCGGTCCTCAGGGCAAGGTGTGTGCGAGAGGCGAGCGTCTCTCAAGAAGCTTACTCCATAACAATCAAAGTAAGTGCCCGTTCTTTCATGTTCACAGAATTATTTATTCGTTATTACTAGTACTGTATCCTTCAGTATCTTAGAGCTATTCGACATTATCGACTGCCTAAATGAAATCTTGGGAGTGATGTTTACCCTTTCGGGTCACGGCAATTCGCACGGAGTCTTTTTCGCGAAATGTTTCGCTTCAATTTGTTGCGGTGTGTAACAATCTCTTTCTTTGTTTAGCTTGCCTTCATTTAACTGCCTTCTAGTTTCTTCGCTGATTTCTGTGCACTCCAGCTCTTCTTCGTCGTAGCCGACTCGATCGTATCGAGCGCCGAGGGATATGGGTAGACAAATCTCGTGAGTGGGTGCTACGATCACAAAAGCCACAAGAACCTTGCTATTTGATCAAAAAACTTCTGCAGCACCTGTATGGCCTCGGCAACTCCGATCGACTGCTAGACTCAAGCCCACTGCGAAATGTTACCTCGCCTTTATTATTAAGCGGGATCATTTTGCTGCTGCCTAAAGTCGGACCGCACATCCGATCAGAGTTGCAAAGACATTTTCCTCACACTTCCTATTTTCGCGAGGGAGGCGAACATTAACGGAATAAATTTACCAGCATTTGCTGCACGGTTGTCTCACTCATCCCATTCCAACCCTTGGTCGACCTAACAAAAACAAATTCCTGCACTTTCTGTCCTGCTGTTGCATATTTTTGAGCATGATCTTTTTGTTGCGAGAAAAAGTCTAAGCGCACAGGAGAACGTGTAGTGCTGATGATATTCATAATGACAATGTTGCATGAACTTGACTGGGCATTAAGGAGTCTTACATCCACGTTTTGGTTTTGTCATCAGCTGGACAACAGCAGGAAGATAACAGAGGCGCACTGCACCTGTAGAGGTGGCACATGCGGCCAGTGCAAGCACACGACAGCAGCGGTGGCATATGTGAACAGGGAGGACACTTCCACAAAGACGTTTATAACAAATGTGTGGAAGAGGCCATCGGCAAAGCAGCTTAAAATGTACAAAAAGGGTGTGATATTCTTAGAAACGTTCGCATCGAAGCTACCGGATGGCAGGTTGCAGGGACAACCGGTCCCAGCTTCCATTGTTAACTCTAAATGCCGTTAGGCATTATGCTTCGTCAAGAGGAGCGAGTGAAGAAGAACCTCAAAAGTCTCAACAAGGTTCTACATCGTGTCGGACAACCACGCGTAATATTTGGTGCAGATGGCATTTTGAGTGAGGAGCTATGTGACGACATTCTTCTCGCTGTCATGGTCAGCGAGGATGAGTGCAAAGAGATTGCACGAGAGACAATAGTTCAAAGTGCATGCCCACAATGGCACCGTTCGAGGGCAGCAAGAATCTCTGCAAGCTCCAAGGCTCACAAAGTGAAAATACGTACAGCTGACTTCGATACCCTGGCCAAACACCTTGCTCACCACGGTCATTCAAGAGTGCCTCATGTTCTTATGGTGTAGCGAAAGAACCGGAAGCCAGGAAAGAATACGAGTCCTCGGAAAAGAAAAAGGTGATACAAGTAGGACTTGTTGTGTGCGTCCCACAGCCGTGGTTGTGTTGCAGCCCCGACGGACTGGTGGAAGAGAACGGGGAAATCCGCCTCCTAGAGATCAAGTGTCCTTCCAGGTACGATACCAAAGCCTGTAATTGATGAGAACATTAACGTTGACTACCTGCAATACGGGGGAAAAAAACTGAAGCTGCAAGAAAGCCATGTGTGCTACACACAGGTCCAAGTCAGCATGTATATTGTTGGTGCGAATTGTGCGACTTCTATGTCTACTCACCCAAGGGGCCCAAGTGTGTAAAAGTAATCAAGGAGACGCTGTTCTTGAAGAAAGTTGTGCCAAAGCTGGAATGATTTTTTTTCAGGCACTCTTTTTTAGCTGAGGCGGCAAAGCCTCTAATCAGCTAGAGTAGTGCTGATATGTGCAAAATTGTTCTGTATGGAATACGAAATTCAAATGTCTTGTCGAAATAACAGAAATGAAACGTGTGTGACCATTTATTTCTGAATCATAGTGGCAACGTGGGCAAGTTGGTTCACGCTTACGATAAAATACACGGCGTGCAAAACGACGAAGACTGATTGCACAAAATGACAAAGACTGATGAAAAAGGAACAGGCAGGACAAATGCTAATTTTCGTCCTCTCATCCTGTCTGCTTCCTTTTCGTCGGTCTTCGTCTTTTTGCGCACCGTGTACTTTATCGGAAGCACAGAATTCTGTTCGAAACTCTCACAGAGTCTTAAAGACGGGACCTTGCAGGTTCGCGAGCATGCTACATACATGTAGAAGTTTGTCTATGTGGCATTTGAGTTCTGGCGTCAAACTCTGGCTCAAGATTGGGAAAACTCTTAATCCGCTGAATACATCTCTCAACATAAATTCGATGAGATGCATCCTTGTATGTCTCCTTCATCTCTGCCTCCGTAAACTGTTCATTAGCTTTTGCAAATGGTGGCATAACGAGAGTCACATCTTTACTCTCCAAGTCACCCTTCACGTGTGGAAACCCTTTGTCGGCCATAACCATATCACCTGGTTCTAGCAGGTTAACCAACCGAGAGTTTGCTATGATGTAAGTGTCACTTGCTCTTCTGCCATAAACATCTGAAAGAAATGTGATGTACCCAGATGACGTGATGCCAACAAGATATTTCAGCGTGAAGTCACTTTTGTAATTACTCCAGCAGTTCACTCTGTCAGTGACTTTGCTCGGTTTCTCAATCCGGACTTCACTGCAGTCGACGATAACCCTACAATTAGGATACTTCGACTGGAACGATGCGGGCATTGATGCATGAACATCTCTAGAAAACCATTGGGTCCATTCCTGCGTACTAACATAGAGCACATCTAGAATCGTGTAGAAGATGCGCGACGCACTGGTTCGGTGGATACCAAACAATACACCCAAGGCAGAGAAGGTCAGTCCATGCTTCATCTTGACCAGAAAAAGCAGGAGCTTGCTCTTCATACCCAGCTTTAAGTATCGCTCCCCACGCACCTGGAACGAAAATACTTTTTTTCGTAAACACAATATAGTTTTTTTTTTTTGACCAGACGTTTTTGCTCGAAGTGCGGTGAAAGCTTAACCGAAGTCCCTTGTAGCTGCCAAGAGTATCTAGCAAACTCCAATGGCTGAATGCCCACTAGCTCTTGGCTTCACTACTACACGAAGCTCGCGTCACTCTGTGGTGATAAGAATAATTGCCAGTAAATTGTCATCTTTTACGAGAGTAAAACTGTTGTCTGCGAATTCTGTCTCTGATCGACTGAATCCTACTGCTCTTTTTCCAAACCCCCAACCGATCCGACCAGCTCGCCAGTCTCATCTCGGCTGTCTGAGAACCATGCTGAAAAGTGACGTATGGCAGAAGTACAAATGGCGAATGTAATGAGACACGGAGACCGAGGCGAATGTAATAAGACACCGACACGCAGACTGGTTGTGATGAGTGAGAGCTAATGTTCTGCGATTAGTTTAATCCCCACGGACAGGCTCGGCGATCAGTGACTACAGCAATGGTGCAAATCTGCTGAACTTGTGGGACAGCGTCCTTCTCGTCGACTCATTATGTTTAGGCTCAAGTATTCACCATGTCGCGAATGCGGACAGAATAAGAGAGGCTTTGGCGCGGGCAGTATTTATTGAGATGCAACTTGCATTTCTGAAGTGTTGCGCGTGATCTTTCGTAGCTTTGCTGTGAATTAACGTGTTTTCATTCCTACACTGATGGCACAGAAGCTAAACACAGCCGCTGCGGAGTCGCTAACTTAGATGATTCCCCTTGCCGTGACAACATGACTTAGCATTGTAAATAAAGAGCATGCGTCCAATTATCTATCGTTTTAGGTCCCACGGCTACATCCATTTGGTCACAGGGTTTGCTTGTAATACGACAAGCATCGTCTTGTTACTAGGTGACAAGTGTCTGCAACAGACCACCGCAAGCATCCATTCTGCACCTTAACGTAATGAAATACAAGTGTGCGCTAGCCTTCAGAGCTAGGCAATTGCTGTCCACCGTAATCGGATAGAGACTTTCAGCTGAATGCAAAAACGCGCACTGTAGGTACACTGCCTTGCACTTCCCGCACCGGTGCAGGTGAATTGAGAACACCTGCCAAAACCTCAAAATGTTTATGGTAGCTGCATCACCTGATCCCGTTTGCTCGAAGTGCGGATATCTTTAACCGTGTTTAAAAGTTAACCGAAGTACCTGGGAGGGTGATTCCAAGACAGCGTGACTGGCCGTGGAGGGAGGCAGAGGGGGGGGGGGGGGGGGGGGCAATTTTCTGCATCCCTACACGACCAGTCACAATCTTAAAATGTCCTACTTTGGTTTACTTGTAACCATATTTAAAGATGTTCATGCTTCGAGCAAATAGAACCAGATGGTGCAGCTACTTCAGAAGTTCTAGCATTTTTTCTCGTAATGAGGATAGCTTTCTGGTAGATTTAAGACATACAGTCGGCATCAAAATGAACTGGCTCATTAGAACGCTGGCCGGAGCGGCGAATATTCTTTTGGGGCGCTTCTGTCTCGATAACCCATTGAAAGAAAGGCTGGAAGAAATGCTGCGACCATGTGTACTGGGGAGGACGGCAATAAAAATAAGCGGCGCATAGGATGCACTTGGAGCTGCTCGTTGCACATCGGCTTGCGGTTTCAATGCACCATTGCCATTCATTTTTGTGCGCTTGTGTGTGTTGTTTAAGGTTACTTGTCACGTTAGGGCATGGAACTCGTAGAGATAGCTTGTAGTTTTGACTTCGCTTAAAGAAAAACAAAAAATACTAGCAATTCAAGTTAAAGCAAGTAGGCAGGTGAGCTTGTTAAGGATAGGCATGATAACCCTGGAGCGAGGGGACAAAAAAAGACGGACAGACACGAAGCTCCAAAAAGCTTCGTGTCTGCCCGTCTTTTTTTGTCCCCTCGCTCCAGGGCTATCATGTCTAGCAATTCACACCGGAAAAAATTCACAAAAGACAATGAACACAGAAAAGCGACAATGAATGGCGCATGGCACTCCCAGATGGCGCATCAAATACAACAGCCAGACTGCAAAGCGAGGAATTCCTGATGCGTGTCTTATCATTGCTAGCGTCCTCCCCCGTTATTGAAATCGCGGCACTCTTTTCAGTCTCGCTCGCTATGGCTTACCGCGACAAGGGAGCCCCATGCGGAACTTTTGCCGCTCCGGCCGGCGTTCCGACGAGCCAGCTCATTTTGATGTGATGCCGACTGTACCTCTAGGTGCTGTTTTTAAATGGGTCATGTAAGCATATGTCTAGATAAATAACTGGAAATGACACGGGCGAGCAGATGGACTCTGAAGATTGCAGGATCTTGAGACCAAGGAACAAAACAAGGTGCCCTTCCTGGTTTATCAGGAAGTCCCGTGACCTTCCTCACACGTGTCGCATTAGTTGCCAAATCGCCAACACTAGCCAGATGCTACACTGTGACTCGCAACAGTTCAGAACTTTGAAAAGCAATGAGGACCACCCCTGCCATGGCTATTGTTAAGACCGGTTCACAGATTTGCAACCGATTTGGGTTAGTTCAGACGCGAAAGGCAGATGCAGAATGTTGTGGAGGAAGTTTGCACGAAGCCTGTGCTCACAGTTGTGTTGACAAGCAATAAACCGTAGCTGAGAACCAACGAGAACTCATGATTGGCACTTGGGGCCCACTAATAATGAGTGATATCCACCGAAAACATGACAGAATACTTTTTTGGCGTACCTGCAGAAGTAGCTCTCAAATATCCTGTTAAGTCAGCGAGAAATGTATCTCAGTATTTGTACTATAGGCTTCCAGCACAAGTATCTCGGCATTTCTATTCCGGAATACTTTTTTAGTATCTCTGCACAGCCCTGGTTTCTTTCAGTGCGTTGTAATACGACAAGCATTGTCCTGTTACTAGGCGACTCGTGATTTTCGCAAGCATACATTCTACACCTAACGTAATAAAATGCAAGTGTGTGCTAGCCTTCGGAGCTCGGCGATTTTCGTCCATGGTGATTGGACGCAGACTCTAAGCTGGGTGCGGTGTGCCCAGTCAGGTATTAATTTTACGTGAGCCCGAACAGAGTGACGATGCAGTGCTCGGGCCTAATCAATGTATTGCACTCAGCTAACACACTGAAAGGTTGATCCTTTTGTCTGTCACATGTGACCCGCATGACCTTGCCACCAAGCTTTTTGAAGGCAAGAAAGAATGAAGTATCCTGCATTTACTCTTGAAACTATGCAGAGAGTGAAACTCTAGGCTTAGTAGCATTACGTGGGACATACTTGCTTCAGGCTTCTGTTAACATGCACATAAACTTCAAACCCTAAATTGCTGTGTCACCCCTTTGAGTGAGTTTCCATTTACCTTTGACAACAAATTCAACAATGTCAGGAACACCATGGCAGTCACACCGGTAAGGTCCCTCAGAGCATCAACCCTTTCATTGTGGTTCACCAATGACTGGTACCCATAAAAACCTTTCGGTTGATGATCTTGGAGGCACACCGCAGCGATACTTGCATCAGCAGTCGTAGGTCGTTCGTGCGCTAAGTATGCAACCTGGTTAGATGCCTCGCAGGCACCAGTCCACAAGACGCAGGATATCATCAGCACACCCTGATCCTGAGGCTCCGATGTTCATGATGTTTGAGTTGATACATAAAGTCGAAGCAATGACATGTTGCAATATTTACGATTAAAGCAAAACTCAAATGCAGTTTAGTCTCATGTTAGCAGAGGAGAACCTACCTCCACACCTTCCTGATGACGAGCTTCATTATGTTCTCCAGTGACTGCATGCAGGTTCTTCAAACTCTGGTGCGAATGCTGGAGATGCTGGCAGATCTACAGGAGCCTCGGTCACCACTGTTGGTGGCGCAGCTTGCAGCAAGTCTGGCATCGACGTTGAGGTCTGGGGCAGAGCTGCAGTAGCTGTCCTCCGCTTCTTGTATCTAAGAAAAAGAAATCGCACCTACACTTCTCTCAATAATCACAGTGAGGCTGCATAACAACAAATAAGCTCCTGGCTTCTAGATAGAGCAAACACTGCAATTTTTCTCGCATTCCCACCCAACTGTGCAGCAGTTGCGTTTGACATTGTCTTTCCGGGACCTACGAGAAACCAGCGTCATAAAACTGCTTCCCCGACACCATCGAAAAGAAAACAAAATTGCCGCGTCTGTAAGGATGCTAATAAAAAGCAGCCGACAGACCGGAACAAGTAGGCTCAAACACAGCAATTTGACAATGTTCTCACCTTTCATAGCGCCTGGATTTATACTCAGGGAGCACCAAACGCTTGCAATATTCTTCGGAGAATATCGTCGGCGCATACGACGGGGACAAAACATCCTTCGAGGACGCACCTCCGACGAAATGAACGCTGCATATTCGTGAGTGCCGGGTCGGCTCCCAGTCCGTTCCGTCGGCACTGAAATACGCGAACGATAGTAGCAGAAGAAAAACCAAAACACAACGCGAGACGGAGAAGATACGTTCGTCATTACGATCCATTGGTAGACAAGATCAGGAGCCGAACTTACTTCTTCCGCCGCACGAGTCTGATCCACTGTTGCCGCTGCCCGACGAAGCACGGGCGAGTTGAAAAACTGTAAAACGTCGTCCCCGTGGGGAACGACGTATACCTATTAGTACAACCGACGACGCGGCAATTCCTAATCGCAATAAACCGCGCGTTTGCGGTGCAGTTTGGGCAGGGTTCTAAAAGTACACAGGTACAAGTAACTGGAAACCGATATCTAGGTACTTTTGCTGTACCTGAAGTACAAACCTAGGTTCTTTAATTTTTCGGTATCTGTATTTGTATTTTAGGTACATTTTCCAGTAACTTGTAACTAAGTGAAGCTACTTTTTAAAGGTACTTTTCTATTCACCTCGTCAAAATGGTAGAAACTATAAATCTTAAATTATTAACACACTATCATGTGCAGTGATTAACGTTGAGTTGGGTACGACATTGGAGGCACTGACTTGATCGAAATACGTTTTAGCGAACGAAGCCCCGCCTATGATGTTTCATCGAATGACACACTTTAGTGAATGTAGGTGTTCATTTGAGCGAACGGTCGATTAGCGATGCGGTTCTAGCGACGCCAATTTATTTAATCACTTTGGAACTCCGTTTGGGGAAAGTAGCGACCTGCTTCCTTCATCTCAAGCCAAAATTGACATCATTGCGTGTTTGAAGTTCCTCTCTGACAGCTATACAAGGAAGGAGATAACTTGAACGATGTGCGCAGTTTCTGTTGTCCGTATCTTGTCCAGGTGGTGACACTGTTCTGCCATAAATACAATATAAATATAATTGCAAATAAATTATAATTACAATCGTAAAGCAATGTAACATTGCGTATGTAATACAGTTTCCACTCAATAAATCGGACTCAAATTTTGCAGTTACCAAAACTAAATAGTCCCCCCCCCCCCCCCCCCCCCCCCAAAAAAAAAGCTCCTTTTTTTTTTTTTTTTATTAACGAGAGAAAAAATAAAACGAGGAAGCTTAAAGCCTTCCGCTCGTCGTCGCGAAGGTTCGGTGCATATGCACTCGACTCATGCGTTCCTTCATGCGGCCGACGTCTTCTGGGCCCGTCAGCGTCAGCACCGGCTCTGAGGGCAAAACGTCAATAAGCGAGCTTCGGCGGTTTCGGTGTGACATGGTAAACAGTGGAAGCTGTGGCCTCGGTGAACCAATTGGAGCGTGGGGACAAGGCACATGAGGACTCAACACCGATGTGGACATCGCATTGACACCAATAAAGCACATTTATCGAACTCGTTTTTGAGTGTATCCTTAGTATAAAAAGCTTTACTTTAATATATTTTAACGAATTCGGTAAAATAAATAAAGACAGTATCTTTAAAGTAACTGTAGCTGTGCCTAGGTACATCTTTAAGCAAGTGCCTAGGTGCGTACCTAAGTACCTTTCATAAGAGTAACTGGAACTGCATCTTAGGTACATTTTCTAAGTAACTTTTACAACCTTGAGTTTGGGCGTCGCGGCGGCAGTGGTGCCAGCCTCTGAAAGCGGTGGTGCGGCGCTGTTTTCTTCTGCTCGGGCGGCTCGGTTCTCGCAGCCTGTCCTCTCTAATGGCCGTGCGGCGGCGCGCCGGTCGCCGCGCACGGAGTGTATAGTAGTTATAGTTATTCAAAATATTTGCTCTTTAAATTTAGCGGATGAAAAAAAATATGCACCCACTTTTCCCCGTGGAAATATGTTACCGGAAGTCAGTTTTCGACTGGTTCCAAAACGAACTTTTCCCAAAAGACTTTTTGACGGCAATATTTACCCCGTGAGATACATTGTGTGAGGAGCGATGTTTTTATTTTTGCACAACCTTTAGAACTAAAATCAGCATATAGGGCGGCAACTGTGTGACGTGCTGGGCTAGTTGGTTTGAGGTGAATATCTTGTGGAAGAAACAATGGCAAAAATATTTGGACAAGAGTAAAAGAACAAACACGACAGGAGGGCGCGATACGGCGGCTTCACTAAACGCCTTTCACTTCCGCTAAGACGTGGCTTTGTTTGCGGCTCAGACCGGGTCAGCTTGGCCACCTCTGGTTTAGGACGAAAGTTCACCAATATGCGGCCCGGTCGAAAGTACGTCACATTAAATTAGTGTTGGACAAAATACTCGACAAAATTATTTAAGGTAAGTTACTAAATACCTGCTTCAAAAACTATTTAAATTATTACTCAAGTTACTTTCCGTGCAAAATAACTTGAGTAGAGTGCAAATACTTAGTAATGTAATTTAATTACGTTTGAAGATACTTCTGCATCGAGTAATATCGACTTCGTTGACACCAGAATTCTTTACTTGCAAGCAACAGGAGCAAAGAAAACAAAATCGCAGTGCTCTCCTATGCAGCCTACAATGAGTAGTATCAAACTGGTGAATGTCACAAAAACCAAAAATGGGCCGGTCTATGTGTAGTCATATCGCAGAAAATCACATATTGTGGTTGTTTTATTACGCGCACCTAGGGTGCATTGTTTTACTAAGCGCTGAAGTCGATATAGTCAATCCAGATTTTATATTGAACCTGTCGATTAGTTCTTAATTGGTCTATGTTTTTCTCCCAACTAAAGAAAGTGAAATTATTGGCACGTTCTTAAACCTTAAAAGTGCCAGATCCCAAACATAAATCGACTGCAAATTAAACCCATCAAATTTGTAATTCTCTCTGTCACGTACATTCTAACCTCGCTTTAACGACTTTTGTTTTTCCAACAGAAATGCAAAAGGCAAAAGTAACGATGCTGCAGAAAGGTGGCGAGAAACATAATCTCAAAAACTAAAGGCCAATATCAATTTTACTTGCACTGTCTATGGGCCTTAAGGAAACAATTCATGAAAGACTTGCCAGCTTCCCTAACAAATACAAGCTTCTTTCTAACTCACAATTTGGTTTTCGAGAGCACAGATCAACAGAAAAGGCATTATCAACACAAAAGGAACTGATTGATGGTGCACTTGAGAGCACAAAACTCGTTCTAGGAATATTTATTGACCTCACTAAAGCGTTCGACGATATAAACTATAAAATACGAAACTACGCATACTTTTTATTCATTATAAACGTTTAAAAAAAAAACTTAAATATTATTCTTTTTTTTAGTAAAGAAACGACAATCAGAACGTTTCACGCGAATTCAAGGAAGACTGACACAACGGAAGTCTTATCGGCACCGACATCACAATGGCCGCCCTCGCCGAGCTTTGGCCTCCGCGACGTCCGACGATCATTCTAATGGCGGTTCTGGCCCCGAATCATAAACCTTGATACAATATTTGCTGCTACAATACTTTCTAGATGTTTCCCCCTAATGTGCCGGGACTGCGTGAGCACTCGATTTGGTCTCGTGATAATTAAAGCCCCTCTACTCTGGGGAAAGTGGCGCAATTCACCGTTGTGGAAATGCTCGAGACACGTGCCGCGCCACTTCTGGGAAGAACATGGCGTCTGAAATCTAGCACAGTACTACAGTGTACTAGAATACTTGGGTAGTGTTGGGACCGGAGCGGCTCGGCAACGGGAGCTCGTGAGGGCGCGTGTATTGACAGTTCGTGGCGGCGCTGTAGTCGAGTTATCCGGCTCGCGCAGCCCGCCTTTTTTTTTCTTTTTTTCTTTTTGCTCTTTGAGCGGTGCGTGTAGCGAAAGCTAGGAGCGCGAGCTCATAGCGTTGGCAGCTGCCCTTGGTGCACGGGAGCTCGTGCCGCCGAGATGTGCCCTAGAGCAAGGAGCTCGCGCTTGTAGCCTTTCCTGCGGTACAACACAAGGTGAAACAGAGTATAGGGCACGTAAAAAAAATCGGTATTTTCAAATCTTTTTTTTTTTTAATAGGGAGTTTTAGAATAGCGCACGCTAGAGCTTTGCGCACGCAAAGAATAGCGTCGTCGCCACTGCGCATGCTCCGAACGCAAACCAGGTTTTGCGCTTTGCGTGCGCAATTTTAGCGTGCGCTATTTCTCGGAAATAGCCTGCGTACGCAAAGAGTTTTTGCGCTTCTCCAATGAGGATTCGCGATGACAAGTTGGCTAAAGCCAAGACGAGCACAGTTAAAAAAATGGCGGCTTGCAGG